ATTTTGGAGGGGATGGAATATATTCAATATCTTAACTGTGATAATTATATGAGTCAAATAATAGAAGTATACAGATATACACCAAAAGTATAAATAATTATAAACACACAAACCTGTGATGGTGGTTGTTGCAAAGTATATACAGTAAGCCCGCCTTATTTGTGGATTACATGTGGTTTTGACCAAGCATAATCAAAGTACCAGTAACTTTAAAATCATTAAATTTAATTAATTATTATTAAGTTTCAAAACCAAAACTTTTTAATTCCCCCACACTTTACATAGTAGTCCCGTGTTATCATCAGTCGAGTTTAAATCACTGTGTGACAACAAGGGGATTGGACTTTGAGCACATGATAAAAGTGAGAACACACAAGGGAGGTATGAGGATAGGCAAGACACCTAAAAAATTAGCTAGCATTTGTTGCCCTCAACTCAGAGAAACTAAAGCAGTTACCTTAAAAGCAACTGAGGCCAATAGGAGAAGGGGACCAGGAACTAGAGAAAAGGTGAGATCAAAAAGAATTAACCTAAAAGGTAACACACATGTACAGGAAATCAATGTGAGTCAACTCCCTGTATAGCTATCTTTATCTCAACTAGCAAAAAACCTTGTTCCTTCCCATTATTGCTTATACTCTCTCTACAACAAAATTAGAGGTAAGGGCAAAATAGTTTCTGCCGGGTATCGAGGGGGTGGGGGGAGAGAGAAGGGGCAGAGTGGGTGGTAAGGGAGGGGGTGGGGGCAGGGGAGAAATGACCCAAGCATTGTATGCACATATGAATAATAAAACAATAAAAATTTAAAAAATAAATTAAATAAATAAATAAATCACTGTGTGATCTGCTATGTTTCTCTGCCCTTAATTTGGTAAAAATATACCTTCCAAAAAGCAAGGTAAAGATTAATGTGCTTAACATAACTAATAAAGTGACAATCTTAGATTTGTTGAAAGATAGCATGTCTTTAGTGGAAGTTGGGCTGTGTTCTGGAGAAGTGAATCAAGCATCCACAGTACAGCACTGAACTCTTGAGCATGTGTGGTTTTCCTCAACAGCAGTCTCCTGGAACCACACACCTGCAGATACCAAGGGTCTACTGTTCATTTAAAATGGACAAATTTGTTGGGCACTGGTGGCTCACATCCATAATCCTTGCTACTTAGGGTCAGAGATCAAGAGGATCACAGTTCAAGGCAAAAAGTGAAATTCAATCTCAAAAATATCCAAAACAAAAAAGGATGGATGAGTGGTTCAAATGGTAGAGCAACTAACAAACATGAGTCCCTGAGTTCAAACTCCAGTACCACCAGAAAAAAATTGATGAATTTAATTAAAAGTAAATTAATCATCAATAAAATTTATTTTAAAAGGCCAAAGATTTAAATAGACTTCACAAAAGAAGATATATAATGGTCAACAAACTCACAGAAGTGTCTTTTAGCTAGAGGTGTAGCTCAGTGGTAGAGTATTTGCCTAATATGCTCAAGACCCTGGGTTTTATTCTAGCACAAAAAAAAAAAAAAAAAAAAAACAGAAAATGTTTTGACATCTTTAGTCACTAAAAAAGGCAAATTAAGACCAAGACCAAAAGTTCATCAAAATTCAATAAACTAATTGTGGTATATTCATATAATGGAATATTACAAAGCAATAAAAATGTACCAACCACAGATAGACAAAAATCATGGATAAATCTCAGGATTGTACTGAATGAAAAGAAGCCAAACACACACAGACTTCATATTAAATGATTCCATTTTTATGAAGTTCAAGAACTGGCAAAATTAGTTTATGGAAATGGCTATCCAAAGACTGGTTGCCAGAAGCAGAGCAGTGGTGTGGGAAGTAGGTAAGAGAACTTCCCAGGGCCATGGTCACTAGTCTATTTCATGACTGGGGGCGGTTGTATATATTACTCCAGTCAAAATTTATCAGATTAAACACCTAATATCTGTATAATCTATTAAAGGAGCGTCACAAAGAAAAGCTAGTCATGGTGGCACACATCTGTAATCTAAACACTCAAGAGGCAGAAGCAGGAGGATCCAGAGTTCAAGGCCAGCCTGGGCTACATGGTAAGAGCAAAAAAAAAAAACACAAATAAATATATAAATACATGAGTTAAAATTCTGCAAAAGACTGTGGAAAGGGATATTTATTCCTTTCTCTTCCACTGAAAGCCACTAAAAACAACAAAAAAGGTAAGCAAGGACAATGCTGCAAGATACTGGCACAGCTTCAAACTATACAAACCATTTAGCAAATACTCAACTCTAAAGCAACGGGGGAACATGGTAAGGCCAACATGCACAACTTCCAATCTCATACAGGATGTAAGTATCTTCAAAACTAAGTAATACTAATCTAAGGAGGACATCCAACAAGGGTGGTAGACTGGTTATAGAACATAAGTCTCAGAAAGGGCCTTACATGTCATTCAGTGAGTTAGAGGGAACTAAAGGAGACAAGTACCAATTAGCTTCTCAGGAAAAGGATACTGATAAACTGAAGAGCTGAGAAAAAACAGACCGGATCACAACACAGTCAATTCCTACAGAACTCTCTTAAAACACATCTGCCTCTTCAAAGTCAAAAACTAAGGAAAGACATGTGTGCCCAAGGGTAAAGAAAAAAACACATTTAAAGAGATCTACTTCAAAAAGGAACCCCACAGCCTAGGGGCGGGGTGGGGGGGTGCCAAATAATGTAAGTAATGAAAAAACGGTAAAATAAAATTTAAAAAAACAAAAGGAACCCCATAATCCCTAGCGCTCTTCCTTTCCAACTTGGCCCAGCAGAATGGTTCCCACAAAGAAGGGTGGTGAGAAGAATGCTGTCTGTCAACAAGGTGGTGAGCCAAGGAAACACCATCAATGTTCACAACCACACCCATGAAGTGGGGGCTTCAAGAACTGTGCCTTAGGCTGGTAGTCAGCTCAGAGGTACTGCATGCCCAAGGCCAATCATTTGATTCCCAGCACTGAAAGTAAAAAAAATTTTTTAAAGCCTTACTTGCCCTAAGGGCACTCAAAGAGATCTGGAAACTTGCCACAAAAGAGGTGAAGACTCCAGATATGTGCACTGATACCAAGCTCAACATCTACAACAAAGGAATAAGAAGTATACCATATTACATCTGTGTGCAGTTGTCCAGAAGATATAATGAGAATGAAGATTCACCAAACAAGCTCTATAATTTTTTTTAGTAACCTTTGTCCTGTTACCACATTCAAAAACCTAGACAGTAAATATAAGAACTAACTATTATGTCAAATAAAGTTATAAAACTACCAAGAAAAAAAAAAGGCAAACCCAGAAAAAAGAAGATGGGGAGGGGAGGGGAGGAGAGGGGAGGTGAGGGGAGAGGAGAGGAGAGGAGAGGAGAGAGAAAGGGGGGGGGTAGAATAGCAAAAACCAGAATATATGTAGAACATGATCTCTTTTCTGCAAAAATCAAACTATGTAAACCCATTCATGTGGGCATATGCATTTTTTCCTGAAATTTAAAAAAGAATAGCTATCAATAGTGGTTGCTCTTAGGGAACAGGCACAGAAGAACTCTTTAGTCACTGAACCTTTTACCTTTCTAGACAGTCCAAATTTTCTAACTTTCTAACTTCTACAAATTTATTTTCTTTTTACATCAACAGAAATTAACTGGTCATTTTTTACCTTTTTTGTCTCTCTGTATATAAAACAAACTTAACAAATGTTATTATTTAATAATAAAATTTTAAATGTTCTCTTATTTATTTATTTATTTATTTAAAATCAAACCCAGGGCCTGGAATGTGCTAGGCAAGTGCTCTACCACTAAGCTATGTTCCCAGTCCCTTACACTCTAATTTTAAGTCAACAAATACTGATGATAAGTCTTTCCTCTAAGAATAAGTTTAACATATAATTTTTCTTGTCTGTAAGATAAAAATACATATATTCTAGTCACTTAAAATGTGTTATCATAACATACAACAGTTATGACCTAATTGTGTCCCTAAAAAATTAATATGTTGAAGCCATAACTCCCAAAGTTAGTATGTAGGAGAAAGAGCTTTTACAGCAATAATTAAGGTTAAATTGAGGTATATGGATGGGGTCCTAATCCAACAGGAATGGTGTCCAGTAATAAGAAGAAAAAGAGACACCAGGGATGCATATATATATAAAGAAAATGTCAAGTGAGGACACATCTGCAGGCCAAGGAGAGAGGGCTTAGGAGAAGTCAACCCTACCATCACTTTTATCTTAGACTTCTAGATTCCAGGATGGCGAGAAAATAATTTCTCTTGTTTAAGCCACCCAGTCTGTGAAACTTTGTTATGGCAGTCTTTCCAAACTAATACAGCTATAAATGTATAAACTGGAAAATCCTAGGAAAATTCTATTATTAAAAAGTTCACCAGAAGTTGTTTTAAGCAAGAGAATATAATAATAAGTGCTATCATTTAAAAAATAAGGCGTGGTATGGTGCTGTAAGCCTGAAATCTCAACACTCAAGAAGCTGACACAGGAAGATCATGAGTTCAAGGCCAGCTTGGGCTACACAGGCAGACCTTTCTGAAAAAATAGATAGACAGACAAACAGACAGATGGATGATAGATAGAAAGGGTGAACCACGTGCACATCTTTAGTCCAGCTACTGGAGAGGCTGAGGAGGAGGATCTCGAGTCCAACAGTTCAAGACCAACCTGAGCAATCTTACCCAGACCCCATCTCAAGCAACAATAACAAAGTGCCATTATAAGTAAGTCTACAGCCCTATAATGTGATTTAAATTTTATGAAGAAATCAACCATACAAAATAAGATATACTTAGATTTAAACTGAAGACCCTAACCTCACAGAATATATCAGAAATAAACTAATTTAAAATCTTTTATTAAATAGCACAGAAAACCAAAAAAGGACATATAAGAAAATAAAAGTTCAGCTTTACTAAAATATTTTAAACATACCAAATAAAACTATATACGTAAAAGAAATTAATTTTATTTACCCCCTGCAAAGGGAGATCCCAGCACTCTGAACTTCTGAATTTGGACAGTGGTGAATGAACATGAGCATCCTCTGGTTTTACTTTTAACATCTTTCTTATCTGAAACTAGGATGAGAAAATATTTAGTTTAATTAAAATATATGTAAGAATTGAATTAACTAGCAGAACCATTATATTACCCTGCATTAATATTTTGCTAACAATTTTAAATTTTTTAACTCAGTGTTTAATTTATAGGCAATTAAATATAATTTCATGAAGAACCTCTCACTGAGTATACATCTAGGTAAGTGAAGAATCACAACAGCTTCCTTCCTTTTCTGGCCTACAGTCTCTTCTCCTTCTAATCTTTCTAATGCAACCTATAGAGTTCTAATACATAAATCTAACTGTAGCTGCCATGGCCAAAATACAACCATGGCACTCATTACTTACAGATAAAATTCTTCAGGTTTTGGGCTGTTTCACATCACTACACATTAAAAACTCTCTAACTCAACTTTGTGAAGTTGCTAAACTCTCTTCAGACAAGTCATGTTATTTTATATTTACTATTTATTGCTATTCCCTATTAAAAAGCACTTCTCTATAATTTTTCACCTGGAAAAGACAATTTTATCTCTAAATCAGTCATTTGTCTTGTCTCACGTTCTTTTTTTTTTGAGGTACTGGGTTTAGAACTCAGGACCTGATACTCTACCAAATGAGCCACACCCACAGACCTTTCCCCCTTATTTTTCAGGAAGAATACTTGAAAATAACTTTTTGCCCAGGCTGGCCCAGACACAATCCTCCTACCTCCAGCTCAGGTGTACCTGGAATTTCAAGTGCACAGTCCTGTCTCAAAGGGTAAGGTAAGGGTTTTAGGCTGTTCAAACCTTGTATTCTTTCATAAGTTATTTAGTTAACACTGAATGTTGTATTTCCAAAGATGGCCAGACCTATATTCCACACCCCAATGCTCCTCTTACAATACAACACAGTCCTCTGACATCAGGACTACATTCCTTCCCTTTGAATTTGTGCAGGCCACTGATTTCAAAGGCTAGTCATAAAAGGCAATGTAGTGGCCCGGCATAGTGGCACATAAGGCTGAGGAATGAAGACCAATGTGAGTTCAAGGCCAGCTGGGACTACACAGCAGACCTTGTCTCAAAGAAAAAATAAATAAATAAAATAAATCCCTTACCCATGTTCAGTATATATTCTTGTGCATTTCAAGATGAAGACCTAATTTTAGTTAACTGATATCTTTATGACATTAAGTCTTTTTTTTTTTTTATGGTACAGGAGTTTGAACTCAGGGCCTAGAACTTGCTAGTAAGCACTCTACCACTGGAGTCATGCCCTCAGCCCTTTTGGTTTTAGTTATTTTTTGGATAAGTTTCACATTTTTGCTCATTCCACAACGCCCAGTTTGTTTGTTGAGATGGGGTTTCACTAATGTTTTTCCCAGGCTGGCCTTGAACCTCAATCCTCCCAATCTCCGCCTCCAAGTAACTGGGATTATAGATGTGTATCACTAAGCCTGCCTCTTTTAAATACTTACTACAGATCAACAAAATAGACAGACAGCAAAACAAACAGATAAACTAGAAGGATTTATGCCAATGTATTAATTCTGGTTGTGTCTAGGTTGTCTTCTTTTTGTCCAATTAAATTTCTAATATCTCCATAAAAACCTAGCATTGCTCTAAAAATATTTTAGATATTTAAAAACTCAAAACTTAATGTCTTATCCCTATACCCATCAAAGTTTTCATCTAAATTTTAGATGAAAAATTTTTAGAAATTTATTTTCAATAACTGCCTTGAGAAAAAAATAAGACAACAAGAATATGCTAATTTTAGAAGAAATTCTACATTTTTCAAATGTACTAGTGTAGCTTTATGTGTATTCTATGGTTTAACATGTAAGAAAATATACTGCAGATAATGAAAGGAAGAGCAAAGTTAAAAATGAGAAAAAGGGGAAAGCTAGAATAAGCCTTTTGGTGTTGGGCTAACATCAGAACCACTGGTGTGAAACTCATGGGTAGTTTTTTTTTTTTTTTTTTTTTTGGTGGGAGTGTGGTTTGAACTCAGGACTTCACTCTTGCAGAGCAGGTGCTCTACTGCTTAATACCTCCAGTCCACTATGCTCTGGTTATTTTGGCCTCAAACCTTGATCCTCCCAGCCTCCCAAGTAGCTAGGATTACAGGCATGAGCCACTGGCACTCAGCTCATGGGTGATCTTTATTGGAGGTACAGACAAGAAGAAAGAGAAATACATGTAGATGTATTTGCTTATGTGTGTATGAATGCATTAGTACAAATAGTTTTCTAGTCCTGTCTGTTGAGAATGTTTAGAAACAGTGACAGCACTCCAGTGAAAAAGCACACATAGCCCTAGACTTGGGTTTCTAAATGTCATTCTTGAAAAAAAAAGAACAAGGGCTACTTGGAAAAGTGACTGATTCCAAACCTGGGATAGAGAAAATATAAGAAAGTATGATGGTTAATCCTGCACCTGGATTAAATTGAAAAAGGAAAGCATACCTCTGGGTGTGTCTGTGAGAGCCAAGTCAATTAGATCATGAGAGCTCTGACCTAGTGGATGGTTTAACACACTGATAAATTCAAAATTTGAATGGACTAACTGGGAGGTGGTGGAACTTTCAAAGGTAAGGCATAGTTGGAGGAAGTAGGCCAATAGAGGCATGCTTTAGAAGGGTGTGTGTTGGCCCTGGACCTTTCCTATTTCTCCTCTTCACTTCCAGGCTGCCATGAAGTGAGCAGCTTTTCTCAGCCATGCCCTTCCTCCAAGATGTTTGTGCTTGCCACAGGCCTAAATGCAATGGCACCAGCTGACCATGCACTGAAACCTCTGAAACTGTAAGCCAAAATAATTCTTTCCTCCTTTAAATTTTTTATTTCAGGTACTTTCCACAGCAACAGAAAGTTTAACACAATAAGCATCTTACAGTGCACAAAGTTTCTTATAGGGCCAAAAAGAAAGAAGTGCTCCAAAAAAACATTATAGTAATGTGTCAAAAGGGCACAGGAGCCAACCTCAAAGATATCTCATTGCCAAATATGGAAGACTTGTAACAAAATCATTAACAGTAGTAGCATATTTTAATTCATAGAATAAAATAAATATCTGAGTCCATATTGATATAAATAAATAAGTGAAGAAAGAGGAACAGGTCTCCCATTCAAAAGAATTTCCACTAATAAATATAGAAGAAATGAGGGAAAACAGGAAATCACCAAAAGAATATCACATATAATTGTTGCAGCCAACATCCACTAACAGATGCCAAAATTGTGGGCAAAAGTGCAAGAGTAGTATATTGGATAGATTCAAACAAACTCCTCCAAAAATCCTACTCTTTATAAAGGGAAAAGGAGTAATTTTACAGTGGAGTAACCAGGCAGAAACCATCTTAACCAAACAATTGAGACTGGTATCAGCAGTAACAAGACCTATTATATTGTGTACTCCCTAATATGAGTACATATATATTGTGTACTCCCTAATATGAGTACACAATATGCACATCACTTCTGAAGTATTCTTTCCCAAAATAGCCATAATCTGCAAATCCCAAATTGAGGGATATTCTACAAAATACTGCACTCCTGGATTGGTGGAGTTACTCAAGTGGTAGAGTGCCTGTCTAGCAAATGCACGGGCCCTAAGATGAAACCTCAGTACCACCAAAAAAAAGCTGCAATCTTCAAAAATCCAGTACTCTTCTAAAGTGTCATGATTATAAAAGAAAAAACAATGAACAACTATGACAGACTAAAAGAAATTGAGGAGACATAACAAGTAAATGCAATGGGGTATCTTGGGTTAGACCCTGGAACAGAAGGACAAATTGAAGAAATATGAGTAATATCTACAGTTCAAAGTATTAGACCATTACTGATTTCTTTTTTGTTGTTGTTGTTTTTGAGGCAGGGTCTTGCTATGTAGCCCAGGCTGGCCTAGTACTGCTATATAGCTCAAGCTAGCCTCAAACTTGAGAGCCTTCCGCCACTGACTCTCAAATGCTGGGGTTACAGGTCTGAACCACCAAGCTCAGATTGATTTCTTATTTTTGATAATCATACTAACATTATGTAAGGTATTAACATAAGGAGAAACTGAATGAACAGTACACAGAAATTTTGTACTATTTCTCTAAGTTTTCTTCAAGTCTAAAGCTACTTGAAAATAAAAAGTTAAAAAATACTGTAATACATCTGAAAAGCACAAAGAAATGTATGGGCTGGGAGGTGTAGCTTTGTAGTACAGTACTTGCTTAGCATATGGGAGACTCTGGGTTTGATATCCAGCACCACCAAAACAAAGGGGAGGGAAGAAAAGAGAAGGGAAGGGAAGGCAAAGGACTGGAAGGGAAAGTTGAAAGACAGAAATGTATTCACTCAATATTATGATTATTTCTTTCTTTTCTAAGAGACGGGATTTCCCTATGTTACCTAGGCTGACCTCCAACTTCTGGATTCATTTAATTCTGCCCAATAAGCTGGGACAATAACTATACACCATTGCATATGGCTTTAATACTATGAATTTTTAATGGTAGAATTTCAGATGAATTGCATGAACATACATAGCCTAAAGCAGAGTACTTTATTTCACTGCAGATATTAAAAGTAGTAGTCAATACAGGAGTATTTAAAACTGGGTGCCATCGTTTGGATGTGGTTTATCCCCATCAAAACTCATGTTGAACTTTGCCAATATAAAAATGTTGGGAAGAAGGGCCTTTAAGAGGCAACTGGGATTAGGGGAGCTCCACCCTTACAAATGGATTAGTATCTTTATCAAGAGACTGGTTAGTTCTCTTGAGCCTCACATTAGTTCCCAAGAGAGAACAGGTTGTTATAAATGAATAGTGGCACGTCCCCTCAGCTCTTCTCCTATAGGTACCTTTCTTCAGTCCACCTGCTCTTTCACTTTCTGCCATGAGCTGAAGCTATATAAGGCCCTCACAGAAGCTCATTAGGATACCAGTGACTTCCCTTTCTCCAGAACCATGAGCCAAAATTCACTTCTTTCTTTTCAAACTACCACCTCCAGTGTTATGGTATAGCAACAAAAAATGACCTGGAACCTTGAGAATGACATATTTGGCCTAGCAATGTGAAATTTTCTTTTTTACCTCCCTCATTCACCCCACTTAAGCTAAATCCAAAATTTTAAATGGACAAATCACATCCTACAAATGTTAAGCAAGCCAATGAAGAAAAAGAGTATCTAAAGCCATGTTCTCTATGTGATTTTCTAAGGTATTATTGCTTCTCTTTCACCACTCTCCTTTACAATTTCTTCCCTCTGTTAAATGCTACAACTGTGTAAGATAAAAATGTTCCAAATTAAAGATCTCTGTGCATAAATGCTTCAGAGAAAAGTATTTAGCAAATTAATATATTGTAAATCAGGTATTACCACTGGAGAAAAAGAAGACCTCCCTAAAAAAAAAAAAAAAAAAAAAAAGAATGATTTTTTTTGTTAAACACTTGCTACGCAGGTAGAAATTTCATTTTACTTGTTTGCTAGTCTTGGCTTATACAGAATAAGTGAACAGAAAGAGAGGTTGAAAAGCACACATTTTAAGTAATAATTTTCAACACATGCCATGAATACAATTCTTCTACATCTACAGTATTAGTGAATGAACATGAGGCATGTTTCTTCAAATAAACAGTAAGTTATGTTTTATATAAAATCTGAAATGAGAAATAGAAAGTATCCTCATCATCTTTTAATGATATTAAAAAGGTTAGTCTCAGAAACGGTACCCTAGTTAACCCTCAGTTAATTAGAGTACATAATTTTCCCCCAAAACATTGATTAAATTTTTACAGCAATGAGCTGGGGGCATGGCTCAGGTGGTAGTATGCCTGCCTTACAAGCACAAGGCTCTGGTTCAAACCTCAGTGCAGCCAAAAAAAAAAAAAAGAAAGAAAGAAAAGGAAAGAGAAATTTTTACAGTATTTTCTTTAAAATCATATTATAAATAAAAATGGCAAAATACTTTCAATATCAGTAACTCCAAAGACAATGAATAGGTTAAAAGCAAAACTCATGCATACCTCATGTAAATCAGCTGATGAGGACTTTTTCCGTTTTCCTTCTGTGACAATCTCTACAAAAACCAAAGACATGGGAAAATTATCATTTAACATCTAAATAAGATAATTTAATGAGATACTTTTATATGCATGATTGTTTTAAATTAACTGCTTACTACACTTACAATTGACTAAGCATAAATATAAAAAAGTTTCATGTCAGAAAAACAGAAGATTGTCACAAAATGCCTCCAGTTAGCAATATATGTATGAAGAAAATACCAGAAAGAAGTAAAGTTGGCTCTAAGAACCAAACAGAAATTCCCTGGCAAGAGACCTTACACCCAGTGGTAGAATGATATGATTAGGCAAATTCTTACAGAGAGCTGGGGTGGTGATATCTAGAAGTTGGCAGTGTTCTACAAAAACATTTTCAGTTCCACTGGTATCTAAACATGCTACGCAACTGGGAACACTTTAACCGTTTACTCACCAACACTTCTCAGACTTCCTATGGATTTTTCTTTTACGATTCTTTCATTCAATCAGCAAGTGTTTATTAAATGTCTATCATGTGCCTATCAATGTGCTAGGCAACGAGTATAATGTAGTGGGAAAATTAAACACAGTTCAAGCTTCCTTAGGATTATAATCTACTGAGTTATATCACATATATCTTAATAAAATAAGTGGTAGATATCCATATAAATGGTCATCTATTTATAATAAACACATCAATGCAATTCAGTGGGAAAAGTATACATTTTTCAATAAATCATGAAGCAACTGATAACCAACTGGGGAGGACAAACTTAACCCCCATCTCATACTATATACAAAAATTAATTTGAAAAGATCATGCTTTTAAATATCAAAGAAAAAACAAGGTTTTTAAAATAAAAACTAGAGTATCTCCATGACCTTTGGATAGGCAGAGTTCTCAAACAGGATACAAGTATTATTAACCATAAGATTAATAAACTGGAATTCATCAAAATTAAGAATTTCTATACACCGGGCATCAAAACTTATTACTAAGTGAGTGAAGAGCAAGCTTCAGACTGAAAGATAATTTATATTTTTTCAAAGGACTCATAACCAGAATATAAAGAACTCCCTGAACAAGTGATGCAGCTCATTGGTACAGCACATACTTAGCAACCTCAAGGCTCTGGGTTGATCTCCAGCTCAAAAAATAAAACAAAATAACTCCTCTGAAATGAATGCAAGACAACCCAATCTTCCAATTGCACAAAAACCTTCAACAGTCACTTCACAGAAAATAATATCCAAATGGCCAATAAACATATGAAGAGGTGCTCAATTTCATTATCATTATGGAAATGCAAATTAAAATCACAAAAGAATACCACTATATAGCCCTTGGAATGGGTAAAATTAAAAAGACTAACAGTATTAAGTATTGGTGAGAACTTAAAATTCTGCTTGTAAGATTGTTAATGAGTACATTCACATTGCCAGTGTCTACCAGATGTATACCTGCCTACTCTGTAGCCAACAATTATACTTCTAGATAAATAAGAATATTCAAGTTATTTTTGTTCTTAATAACCCAAATATCCATCAACAGGGGCATGTGTAAACTTATTTATGCAAAAGAAAGCTACATGGCAATAAATTACTGCTAAGCACAACATGGATGCATCTTACAAATACTATATTCAAGGAAAACCAGATGCATAAGAGTGTGTGATTCAATTTATGTGTAAATTTAAGAACAGTTAAAACAAAACAATGATACTAGTTAGAATAGTGGAGGTATATGGGAAGAGAAGGAATATTGATTGGAAAGGGATGTTAAGTTCAGGCTTCTGAGACTGTTGGAAATGCAAGTGATAGTTACAGAGGTATATGTATACAAGTATAAAAAGTATATTGAACTACATATTAAAGATATATGTACTATAATGTATATAATACCCCATCTTAAAAATAACTTTTAAAAAATTGTAACTAGGCAAGCATGAAGTTCTGAGTTCAAATCTCAGGCCACCAAAAAAAGTTGTAACTAATGTAACCAATGGGCCACAGTTTATCCAGAATTCTTTATAGCTGAAAGACTTTCCTCTGAGTTAAGATCACAATACACCGGATTAGTTTCACCATATGCATTTCCTGAGCAAGCACTTACACAAAAATATTATTTTAACCACTACACTTAAGCTTTTGATAACACAATAAATAATCAAATTACTAAACAATTTCAACAAAGTAGTATTCCTTAGACTATCAAAATAAATAATTTTGGGGATGGGGGCATAGCTCACTGGTAAATATTTACTTAGCATTCTTAAAGCCCTCAGTTCAATCCCCGGCACCATAAAAATAATTTTTTGCAGTACCAGAGGTTGAACTCAGGACCTCATGCTTGCTAGGCAGGCGCTCTACCATTTGAGTTACTCCACCAGCCCCAAAAATAGTAATTTAAAAAAATAAATGGTAAGAAAATCTTTACCTTACAAAAATTCACATTCTAATCCATTTTAAATCTAGCAAAGTTGTATCATTTTAAAAAACAGGACCAAGTACTTAAATTGCAATTTACAGATTAATATTTCCAAACTGTCTAGTTGAGTTACAAGTGCTTCTATTCTGTTTTGCAGCACATTTTCCTATTTCCTTTAATTAATATTATTATGACTTGCCAACAATCCTACAGATTTTTATAACTAAGTATTCTATTTTACATCAGGTTATTTTTGGAGTGTTTTTTTTTAATTTTTGCAGTAGTGGAGCTTGAACTCATGGCCTTATACCTTAAGCCACTCCACCAGCACTTTTTTTGTGATGGATTTTTTTCCAGACAGGGTCTCACAAACTATTTGCCCAGGCTGGCTTTAAACTGCAATCCTCCTGATCTCTGCCTCCTGAGTAACTAAGATTATAGGCATGAGCCCACCAGTGTCCTGCTTTAATAAGCATTTGATGTACCTTTATTTGAGACTGTCTGGTATAGCACAGTGCTCAAGAGTACAGAGCTTAAAGTGAACAACCTAAATTTGTATCTTCGCTTACTAGTTATGACTTTTCTGAACCTTAGCTTCTCCTCTATAAAACAAGGGACAATATCTACATTTTTAATTGTTAAGATTAAAGTGATATAATCTAGAGCTGGGGATGTAGTTTAGTAGAAAGCTTGCCTAGCATAAGTGAGACCCTAAGTAAGATCCTCAATAACACACAGACAAAAAAGTGAGATAGTCTACATTACAGTATTTATCATTCTAACATATATATAGTTAGTACAAAACAAATGGTAACTATTATTACAACTTTTTATTAAAATACCCCTAAGAAACCACAGTATAATAGTATTAGCATATACAAAAGTGTAGTTATTCTCATTCTAAATAGTTTTAGTCTGACTTTTCCCAAGTAGACTGTTCAATAACCCATTACTTGTTTATTCCATAAACATTTATTTGAGATAATAGTAGTTACTATTGCCAGTCAATATGATAAGTGTTTTACACAAATTATTTTATTTAATCCTCACAAAAGTCTTATGAGCCAGGCTCCTGTGGCTAATGCCTGTAATTATAGGTACCAGGAGGTTCAAGCTCAGCTAGGGCAAGTAGTTCTCAAGACCCTGTCTCAAAAATACCCAACACAAAAAAATGGCTGGCAGAGTGGCTCAAGTGGTAGAGCACCTGACTAGTAAACATGAGACCTTGAGTTTAAACCCCAATACAGCCCAAGAAAATCCTCATGAGATCAGTTTTACCGATTAAAGAATTTAGGTCAACCTGGTCTGATTCCAGAGGTGGGACTCTTAAACCAGTACACTCTAGGTATTCTGGATGCTACAGAGATATGAGTAAGACAGACTCTAACTAAGAATTAATAGTTTAAAAGCACAGCTTAAACAATTTATCATGCTAAAATATTATGCAATCAAATAAATTTCCTCTAAGAAGCACAAAGACCCATGCAAGCTTAGAAATAGATACAGATTTTTTTTTTTAATTTGAGTTACTCAGATAGTTCTAGGAAAGGTACAGTGGAACAGGGCTTTGAAGAACTAGTAAGTTTTAAACAGGCAGAAATAGGTGGCAGAACATTTCAGTACCAGGTGCATAGTTTTCCTGCCATGAAAAACTACCAGAATCTGTAATTCTGAAACACTAAAATTTTGCTGAATCAACTCACTTAAAACAATAGAGTCATTTCTGTTTACTCTAAGAAACTTTTACACATTCTCATTTCAGTGTTCATGAATGGATTTAAGGAAAACCATTTCATCCCTGAAGTTCTCAAATGTGACTTTCTCATTCTACAACATACTGTCCTTTGGCCTTTGACTGCCTCATTCCCACTAAACCCATTATTTGCCCCCATATCTTGTCATACCCTCTTACCCTAAGTAAAACTAAACTCATTTTCCCCAAAATTTTTTATATTGCTTAGTACTAATGAAATCACACAGCTGTAACAAATGCAACTACTACAAACACACTTTACTTTGCAGTTCTTTTATTCGTCCCTAATTGACCTCCTATAATATTTTGAGCCTCCAAAACTATTTAAAAGTTCTTACTCGAAACATTATCTTGCCAAAAATGAAAGAACTGTAAAATAGGTTCAGTGGGGGGGGGAGGGAATTGTGGAAAGGGGAGGGGAAATGAGGGAGATAAAGATAAGGGAATATGGTTGATGGGCTTCATATACACATATGAAATAGAACAATGAAACCTCTTAGCATTGCTTTAAGTGGAGCAGGGAGGTAATTGTAGGGGGAGATGGTAGGAGCAATCTTACCATTGTACAATGTAAGGCTATTGGGAACTGTCACAATGAATCCCCCCTGTACAATGAATATATGCTAATAAAAATGAAAAAACATTACCTTGGCTATTTCACATATATGACTGCAAAATCCTTATAATCTCAACATTTGTATCTTTATCCATTCCTGCTCCTGTCCCCATGCCTCACCAAACTATACTTTTGACTCTATCCCCCCCATTCCTTCCTGTACTTCACCCATCAATTTTCTCCTACCTAATATGTCTTTAGACTTTTCCTCTCCATTATCCCCTTTCCCATTAATTTCCCAACCAAACTAATTTAATTCTTATTTATTTGGGGAAGTACTGGGAATGGAACTCAGGACTTCATGTTTTTGATCTCATATTCTTTAAAAAAAAAATCCTTTCCACCTAATTTCCTACTCAAGCTTGTTCTAGAAATCTTCCCTACCTATCTCAATTTCTCAGCTTATGTTAGCTGCCGATTGCCTTACCATCACTTAATTCTTTCGTTAGCTTCTTGAAATCTGGCTTTTGTCTACTGCTCTACTAAAACTACTGTTGACACTGCTAAAAGTGACTTTCTTATTGCCAAATCCAGCACCCTCATACTTTAACTCTCCAAAATGCTAATAGTTGTTTTCTACTCTACTCCTTTTCTTTCTAAACCTATCACATTTCCTAATCAGCCTACCTAACTGCTTACCAATGTCTATTCCTTTCTACTTGGAAATTAACTATATTTGATTTTTCTCCCTCTATATTATTTCTGTGGGCAATTCCATTCACTCCAATGGTTTCACTTCAAGTAACTTCTCTGCAAATAATGCAACTTTATCATGATTGATTGTAGCTTTCAGAATGAACCTTAATTATGGTTCATTACAGTTCCAATGCAAGGAACACATCACCTGGACTTACTGAAAGACGTTACAATGGTATGTTATCGTGAGACACTAGCCACTCAAGATGGAGCTGGAGAAGAAAGGGTTTCCAAATCAACAAGTTTTGAGAAGCACTGCATGTTTAGCACCTATTTCTGGAGACAGTCACTTTACCTGTCTCCCCATCTAATTTACTGCTTATAATTAGCAGTTATGCGAGTTACAAATTCTTGTTTTGTATTTAGCTTAAGGCAGCTGGAATTTGGTTTTTGCTGCTTGCAACTGAAAGAGTTCTAAGCAATACACACTGAACAATGAAGTTATCCTTATCTAGGAGAAAGTTCAGGGAAGCCCGGTGCAGTCTCACAGCTAAGACTATACACTTTATGTTCCTTACTGCCACCTTCTACTTCGTCTTTCAGTTGAAATAATCAAATTCCTCTCTTTGTGATTTATAAATTTTTATAAGTGACATTTTTATAAATGTCACCTCCTTTGGGTTCCAGTTAGCAACAACTCCTAATGAAATAGCAATTGTGTGCATATAACCACTACACAGAACCTACACAATTTCTTTCAACCAACTGAGCACAAAGAATTTCTGAGAATTGATATGGGAAAATTAAATATACAATATTAAGAAAAGCAGCAACATTCTTAAAAAAAAATCAATGTTCACATCGTAAAACTAGAGCCATAATAGAGCACAGCTAACAAACACTAGATCTGGGAATGCTTTTTATACATTACTTTTTTAAAAAAGACAGCTCCAAAAAGAAAGTCACTAGGGGAAAAAAAAACTCCAGTGATATAACAAATATCAATGCCTTAAATATTAGCAGCTCTAATCTCAAAATTCTCTTCCCCTCAATACTTGCATCAAATTAATGATAATAAATCTAAGTGTAATTAGGTAATGGGGATAGTATTTGCTGAAGGGCAACTAATAGTCCCCACACCTCCCTCCAAAATGTAGACAATCTAACAGTCCCCATACCTCCCTCCAAAATGTAGAAAAGCCAAGATGAAATCATTTAGTAAGAGGTTGTGCATCTTAAACTGAGGTATGATTATGCCTACAGTTCTGTGTTTAAAAACACAAATGACAACTCTGCATTTTTCTAATTTGTCAATTTTACTCGAGGGGGGGATTAAAACAAAAGCTGACCTATTGGAGGTATATACATACAATGCAAACATACCTTTATATCATACATGCATATAGTTACAAAGGCAAAGCATATATAATAAACTTTAAAATATACAAAATTGTCACCAATGATTGCATGAGATCTCAGAGTTTCAACTGCTTCAGACTATGACTCAAGAGATCCACCTTTGCCACTCTCCTTTGCAGTTAAGGACAAAAAAATTTTTGAGATGAACTGCCACAGGACATTCCTAAATAGTTCTGAAGTTGTTAATACTATACAAAACTAAATGGTACAATAAGAAGTTTTTTAATGAAAGTGAAATAACTGATTCATCAGATGTTAGATCATATACTAAAACGGCGCACTTCTCCTCTCCTAGGTCCACAGGACTTAACACAAGGACCTGGGGTACATTTAATGGATGACATGTTTGACAAAAACTTGACTGGGACGAACTCTACCCCGTGTCTTATGAGCACTTGGGTGTTACCAAGACGTAGTATACAAAACTCAAGATGGTCATTTCAACCTTAAAGCAATTTCAAAAACAAAAACGTGCTGACTATAAAAGCACAACAAAAGCATGGCTTCAAATCCTTTGTTTGACTTTCGAATCACTTTTGGAAGATACAGAAGGCTGGAAAAGAAAAAGGCAATTAGGGGAGCCTTTCGGAGGAAGGAGACACAATAAGGTATTTATATGAGGAACTCAGCAGCAATTAGCAAGCCCCGCCTTTCCTTCCGTGCAGCCGCCCCTACCAGTGTGGGGAGAGTGGGGAAGGCAGGCAAAGTCTGCAATGAAAGGACAGGAGATTGGGGTCAGGTGTGGAGAAGCTGGAGCTGAAATGAACGCTGCTGGAATTACGAGGAAGGCGTGGCAGAAGGGCTCGGAGCCAACCGGGAAGATCCGTGGACGGACGGGACCTAAGGAGAGCGTTCCCGGCGGTGGAGCCCTGGATGACAGCTGGGGCTGGGGCTGGGACTCAGGGGCAGGAGCGCACGGGAGCCGTCCATTGTGCGCGCCCCCGCCGCGCGCTCCCCTCGCTCGGCTCCCCGCCCCCGCCTCGCCCTCGCCCTCGCAGCTGTGTGACTGCCGCAGCACAGTCCCCAACGCCACCCGCGCCTCGCAGGTAGGGGACGATAAGCCTGGCCCTCCTCCGTCCTCCTCACCGGATGAAAATCGCCGTCGCCCGAGCCTCCTCTTGTCCATCTTGTCCTGCTTCTGGAGTCGCGCTTGCAGGCGCTGTCACCTCAAGACCCCTCAGGCTTGCGGGAGGGAGGGGGAGGGGAAAAAGAAAGCCAGGAAAGTGCGAGCCGCGCTTGCGCAAGAGCCTCGGTAGGCTCTCCGACCGGAAGTGGGCAGCCCCTCCCACCTCCTCCCGGAAGTAGCTTCCTGGGACCTGTTTTCTCAACAGGCTGCCGCAACTGGCATCTAATGTATGGTTTCCGTCCTTAAGGGATAGTCACCTTTTAGCCTGGGGCTCCCACTGGCTTTGTTGATTTTGGGATGTTAGGTTGATAAAAAGTGAAGGGGGAAGCATTGAGAATTCCTAGTTTATTGGATCACCAGAAGTGGCCCCAGAAAGTACGTGACTGTAACCTTACTGTTTTACAGTGTGTCTTTTCTTTCCAGCTTCGGTTGTATATTTTTGTCTTTAGGAAGTTTACTCAAACTTAGAAATAAGAAGGGGCTAAGATGATAAACTAATAGCATAGCTACTCATGGGCATGTGGAGGGGAAATAAACAGGTTAGGTCAGTAGATACAATGTAATAAAGAGGATCTTTTACCATAATTCAAACGCATCTTTAAAAAAAAAAAAACCTGAAAGAAAGCTAGATTTCAACTTTCTTTAAACAAAATACTAAGATAAGTGGGTCATTATGATCTGGCATTGTTGCTACTAATATTTATTGCCATCCTTAATGGGCTCCACCTCTAGTACTGTTTAGCCTTGTAATGTTGAAATCCTTTGAAAGGGGTCTTTAGCTTTTGAAGTCCCATTTTATTAGCCACGGTGTACATATTTGAGTAATTTTAAACAATGAGCCAGATTTGATGACGATATGATCACAATAAGCTTAACAAACTTGAGCACAGTGCTGGCTAATCTAGCAAAAAGATTCTGGAATGTTCCAAGCCAGAAGAGACCCTAGAGTGCTGAAGTTCAACACCCATCCCTCTACCCAACACTCTCCCATCCCCCACCCCTCTAAACCTTTTGAGTTAGACATTTAGTGTTTTTGTTTTAAGCAAAAAGAATAGTTTTAATATTTTGAAGTCATATTGGCAGTGTGAAATTGATCAACCACTTAATTTCTTTGAAGAAAGTTCAATTAAATCTGCGAAAGACCCTTTCTTGCCACAGGTGAATTAAATACAATTTAATGTGTAGGCTTGGATGGGCATCAGAAACAATTTGACTGCCTAAACTACTTTAAAAATTGAAATGAGCCAGGCGCAGGTGGCTGGAGTCTAATCCTAACTACTTGGGAGGCCAGGATCACAGTTTGAAGTCAGCCTACGCAAATAGTTTATGAGACTCCTATTTCCAAAATAAGCAGAGTAAAATGGCCTAGAGGTGTGGCTCAAGCGGTAGAACTCCTGCTTTGCAAGACAGAAGCCTTGAGTTCAAACTCCAGGCCCACCCAAAACAACAAGAAAATTGAGATGAACAACCTAAAATTCCTTATCAGTTGTCTCCAGGAAAAAAATCTAGATTTACAGAAAGATATTTGGAGCACTTGCAATGTTGCTCTTCACCTAAGTTTCCTTTAGTAATTGATTCTTATCTTTAAAATAGAGAAAAAGAAGTTCTATCCTGAAGAATTCTGTCTAGTTATCCTGTGAATAAACCACTAATTTCTTTCTATCTTAAAATACTAAGCAGTTCTACATAAGATTTAATTTGACTGATTTCAGTTGAAAATTACATTTTATGTTGCTGTTTAGTAAAATTGAGGCAGTAGGTAAAAACTCACCTTTATCCTTTAGTTTTTGGTATGCACAAACACACCTCTGAACACTCCAAACCAAGAAATAATAGGATCTGAGATTGGACAAAGTTAGTAAATTCAAAACCTAACTGTCAGAATTACCTAGAGACATCTTTTTAAAAAAAAACTGACCCACCTCAGACCTTTTAAGTCAGAATCTCCTTGAAATGGGACCTAATAATCTGTTTTTAAATGTTTTTAAAAATTAAATTTAAAGTTGTCCAGGAAGATATACCAAATTAAAATATTTTAAAAGTATAGATACTAAAGGTCCTAGGGCTGCACACTTGGGAGATAAAACTACAAAGAAATAACAAAATAATTACTGTAAACATCAGAAAAGTGGTTAGTTTTGGAGACAGGGATATAGAGCATTTGAACGTACTTTTGGCTAACTAACAAAACCAGTCTATGTGGTTAGAAGACTGTTTCTCTTCATAAAATTCTCTAAATTATTTTTTAAACTTTGTCAGGATTCTGTTGCCTACTAAGTTTGTGAAACCTGACAGTTGATGACACCTGATTTTTTTCTATGTCTTTATATCAAGTGGATTGAATATAGCTCCTTTTTCATTGTTGTTGGGGGGGGGGGTTAGCTTTTGAGACTGGGTCTTGTTATGTAGCCCAAGCTGGCATCAAACTCACAGTCCTCCTACCTCAGCCTCCTGAGTGCTGGGATTACAGGTATGGGCACCATGACACCCTGCCTTAAATAGTTTAAGTCTTTCCTGGGGGAGAGATAAATAATGGGAAAGAACAGTATTCTATTTGCTCTATTTTGAAACTTCTAAACATAAAAACTTACAAGCACTATTATTTTCCATTTTTTACAGTTTATTAAATGGAATTATAGTACAGGCAGAGTTATTTTTCTAAAACATAACTGTATTCTGTGCTTAAAAAATATTGCTAGTTTCATACCCAGAGTTCTTTTACTTAAATATATTTTGTAGAGGATTTTTATTTTGCTTTACTAAATATGAAAATAAAGACAGATGCTCCTCACTTTACCATGGGGTTGCATCCTGCTAAACCCACTGTAAGTTGAAACTTTCATAAGTAGAAAACAGATTTCATACATCTAACCTCCTAAACATAGCTAAGCAACACAGTTTGCCATAGAATCTTGGTTGTTCCCCTTGGGATTGCACGGCTGGCTGGGGAGCTGTGGTTTGCCACTGTTGCATCTAAAAACAGGGTCTGACTGCAGATTACTAGACCAGGAAAAAAATCAAAATTTGAAATTTCAAATGCAATTTCTACTGAATGCATGTTGCTTTTATGCCATTATAGAGTCAAAAAATTTTAAGTCTAATCATCATTGATCAGGGACTGTTTGGAAAACTCTTTTGATTTTAATTTTCTGACTGATACATCCTTTCTGTGCTTTATAATAGCCTGGGATATATAAAGGTGTCTTTTTCGTAAATATACCAGAGTATTATAATTACTTTAATATGATACTACTGTGTAACCAGGGGATTAATTGCTAACTTCTCAGACATTAAAATTATTTTTCATAAAAAGCTTACTAATCTGTGAAGAATGTAAAACATTGTTAAATAAAACCATTTTATGATCCTAGGAAATAAAAGTGTTTCTTTAAAAATCAAAAAGCTTCTAAAATAATTTTTAAAAAATCAAAATATGCTCTTCTTACAAAACAGGCTTAAAAAATACACTAATTTTTTGCACACTCCAGATGTGGTGGCACATATCTATAATCCCAGCACTTGGGAGGCTGAGGCAGGAGGATCTTGAGTTCCAGGCCAACCTAGGCTACATAGCAAGTCAGACTGTGCTTAAAAAAAATATATTATATATATATTTATCTATCTGGGGATGTAGCTCAATGGCTAAGTGTTTGCCTAATATTGACCCTGGGTTTAATCCCCAGTACCACAAAATAAATGAATTTTTAAAAATTGTATTACTGTGTACCATGGCTCATGCCAGTAATTCCAACACTTGGGAATCTGAAGCAGGAGGATTACAAATTCAAAGCTAGTTCAAGACTACATAGCTAGTTTGAGGCCTAGCAAGACTTTGTATCAAAGCAAAATTATTTTTATCTGTGATTCTATTGCCTCCCCATCCTGCACTTAAATCTAATCACACATAACCTAGGCTACTCAAATTCATAGAAACAGAAAGTAGGTTGCTAGTTGCCAGAGCCTAGGTTGAAGAGGAAATGGGAAGTTATTGATTAATGGATATAGAGATACAGTTTTGTGGAATGAGAAAAGTTCTGTGGATGGATGGCAGCAGTTGTTCACAATAATGTGAATATACTTAATGCCACTGAACTGCACACTTAAAAATGATTAAAATAGAAACTTTGCCAGACATGGTGCTGCACACCTGTAATCTAAGATGCTTGGGACGTAGAGAATGAAAGGATTATGGTCAAAGCCAGTTCCAAGCAAAAAGCATAAGAAGCTATCTAAAAAATAACTAATGCAAAAAAGAGGTAAGGGTGTGGCTCAAGTGGTAGACCACTTGCCTAGCAAGCTCAAGGCCCTGAATTCAATCTCAACACTGCCAAATAAAATGGAAACATTTTGTTACATTTTTACCACTTTTTTCTAAATTTTAAAAATGTAATACCCATTCCTAGAAGAGGAAAACATAACAGGTATGTCACCACCTACCTAACCCTGGATACCAGAAAGACTTAATTTCAAATTCACACTGATGAATACAATCAGCCCTCCATATCCATAGGTCCTGCATCCAAAGATATAAGCAGCGGTGGATCAAAATTATTAATTTTTGCCTGTTCATTGTGGATACTTTAGATATGTAATAAATACAGTAATAGGAAAATGACACACAAAATTTACTAAATGCTGCATCAGAAATGCTGAACATACACAAGCATTTTTTTGTTATTTCCTAAACAATATACTACAACAACTACTTACATAACATTTTACATTTTATTAGCTGGTAAGTAATCTACAGATAATTTAAAATATAGGGGAGAATGTGTATAAGTTATGTGCAAATAACACACCATTTTAACCATTTTATATAAGGGAATTGACATCTGTGGATTTTGGTATCCACAAGGGGTTCAGGGACTAATTCCCCACGAAGACTTAGGAACTCCTGTATGTTATACTATTCTCCCTTAAAAAAAAAAAAAAAGACTTCACTTGCATAAAATGACTAGACCACTTGATACTGGAAACTAAATGTCCTCACTAAATTTTTGGCAGATAAGTGAAATAAAAAGCCAAATACAATGCATTTTAGGCAAGAGCTCTACCACTAAACTACTCCCCACCCCTACAATGCACTTTAAAATCACTTGTGGAAACACTACCAGGCTTATAGAGCTATTTGAGTTACTTGGGGCATGGCATTTTACCTTTGAAAACCTCAACTTCTCTATAAGATAAATATATTGAATAAAAATATCAGTAAGGTCCCTTTCTGCTGACAGTCTTACTCTTCATAGTAAATTATCGAAGGAAACCAGAATACATCACTCTAAAATATGCCTCTTTAACATAAAAATTATATTTTGAGCTGAAGACAAGAAGCAGCAAAGAGGGTAATAGGGTAGGGATGGGGAGGGAAAGCTCTCTCTCCCTCTTTTCTGCTGCAAGGCAGGATGTAAACTGTCTCTTTACTGAAGACAACTCTAGATTTACACCATCCAGAGATAGTGCCAGAGGAATCTGCAAACAAACCTTACTGCATTAGTTTCTTCCCGTATGTTTACATTCTCAAGATTTCCTGCTTTTGGATACCTAAAACTCTTTTCTTTGTCCTTCCATTTCTTCACAAATGTATTCTTGTTTGTGGAAGATGCTACATTAGCCAAAGTTTTGAGTTACTCTTCATTGAGTTTTTCTCCCACATGATATGTGCTGATGCATTAATGAACTTGTTTTTATTTTATTAATCTATTGTTTCAGGGTTCCCTCCGTACCAACTAAGAACTTATGAGGGTTAAGGAAAAAATTTTCTCCCCTCCACTATCTTATTCCAACCTATTATTTAGAAAACAAAAGATAAAAAACTTTTGATTTTCTTTATTTTAGTGAACTATTGATTTATTTGAGCACAATGGATCTGGATCTGAACCATGCTTAGCAGGTGCTCTTCAATTGAGTTATACCTCCAGCCCTGGAATGGATAATCTTGATTTGCAAAAACAGCAAAAATACAGAGAGGTATTGGCAAACCCACAAAACAAACAAATTCTTCAACAAT